TAATAAATACTAATTAAAGGCTACGTACCCACAGAAGACCCTCACCATTCATTTTTTGGGGTATAATTTAGACGGTTTAGTGTTAAAGCCTACAAATCCCTTCACAGCCTAACACCTCATTGCCCTGATCTTCTCCTCTGGGCATTCCCCGCCTCCTCCGCACCGTCATCAGAGGCCGTGCCTTCAGTCACTACGCCCTAGCCTCTGGAACTCCCCAACTCTAACCCTTTGCCTCAGCCACTCTCTGCCTTTTAATCCCACCTGAAAACCTACCTCTTTGACCTGCGTTTACGGTCACCTCCCCTCCTGCTTTGCTCAGCAACCTATCAGGCCATCAGAAAATCCTGAAGAGATATTAACCTAAGTGAGGGGTGCTATAGGAAGCCGATTGTTGTGCCTATTGTAAAGCACAATTGTATTTTTTTAAAAAAAAGGTTCTGAAGTCAGAACCCAAGACATGGAGATACCAATTTACTGTATTCCCTGAAGGCATGCTTCATTTGAGTGCACCGTCATCCAAGAAACAGGCAGCGAAGTAGACAGCAAGTCTTTCTAAACCAAAAGCAATATCATGGCGTGCTGCCACACTCAATTTCTGGCTGCTCCAGGGTGGGGTCACGCCTCATATCATGTCAACTTCCATTGGCAGCTAGTCAATCATAGTGAGAAACTACCCAGCAGAGTGGGGAGTGCTTGGTGCGGGAACACTGAGTAGTTATCCTAGACACAAATCATTTATTTTCAAAGATTTGAGTATTAGTGGTATGATATGCCTGTACTTTACGATTGCTCATATGTGAACTGTAAGTTCACAGCTGGATACTCTTTAGGGTTTAGACAGAGCACAGTTCATAGCTTAAAGGGAGGTGGGTTGAGTGTGTGTGTGTGGGTGTGGAGAGAGGGGCAAAGAGAGCAGAGGATAAACAAGTGAATACATTATTTGATTGATGGCTAATGATCCTGGCCACTTATGTATATTCAGCAACCATCTTAAGAGAGGGCAAACGTTTGGGAGAAAGATCGCCCACCCTTATTAGTCAGAGAACTTACTAACAACACAATGGGCAGGGACAGAGAGAGAGACTTAATTGAAGCAGCCCATTTTGTGGATCATTTATAATTTACAGAAGCGAAATTTAAATAACATTTTTAAGTGTTGCACCCAATCAACTGAAACCCTCGTGCACATTTTATCACCACCCGTTTCCACTATTCCAAGGTCCTCCTCGCCGGTCTCTCCAGCTCCACTGTGCACAAAATCCAACTAATTCAGAACTCTGCTGCCCGTACTCTCACCTGCTCTAAACTCCCGACCTCCATCACACCAGTCCTCACCAGGTTCACTCACTGGCTCCCTAACACAGAACGGATCGACTTCAAGATTCTCACACTCATCTACAAATCGCTTCACGACCTGGCACTTCCCTACCTCTCCGACCTGCTCATGCCCCACTCCACCACCTGCCACCTCTGCTCAATTGGCAACAGCCTCCTGATTGCCCGTCTCCTCCGCTCCATCATTGGGGGCCATGCTTTCAGCCAATATGCACCGAAACTTTGGAACTCTCCCCCTCAATCCCTCTGCATTTCCCCCTCCTTCCCCTTTTCAGATCACGACTGAAGACCTTCCTTTTTGATCTTGCTTACGGTCACATCCTCCCTCCCCCAATGTGGATGACATTTCACTCTGAGACACTGAACATATGGGGAGGGAGGATAGTCAGGTTACTCCAATGGTTCTGGCATCCTGATATATGCAGTTATACAGTTAGGTATATCAAGAATGCAAGAGTACTCGTGTGAATGTGGCTGTCGTATTGTTCTATCACACTTAAAAACAGTAGATAGCCTTAAATGTTAATGTATAAAATGGTATAAGCTCCGCCACTGTTAAGCTCTCCGAGGGTGAAGGGTGCTATATTGTTGTTGTTGCCCAACAATTTTTGAGCATGTTAAAAGTTATAAAAGGGATGCAGTACTTAAAGGGTTAATATGTCTCAAATTACAGTGGGTTGGTATCGGGTTTCAATTGTACAAATCTCTTTTCAGACAATGATCTTTGCCAGGCAGTCTTTATACTGTAGTTGCAGTATTTGGGAACAGGTGTTAGATCTTGACATGTTTTGATAGCAAAAAAAATCTCATGGCTCAAAATAAGGGTTATTGCCACAAACATTATTGCACCACAAAAACATTTAAACATTCAAAGATCTGATATGCCAGATACTAATTTCTGTAGGAGAAAGTCTATCAAGTAATGGGGCAGGATTTGCAATTCCAACTGTGATAACATCAACAGAAAACTTGGGCGATCCAGAGGGAAAACATTATCTATCAACAAAATGTCTGACCTCTTGTATCATTGTCTGTGAAACAAAAATCTGAACTGAAAACAAACACAAAAAAAACACTTCCCTACGATCAGACATGGTTTTTCTGGACTGACCAGCTATGCTGGAGACAGACTTCCCTTGTTCCAAATACCTTCAGGCAGACAAAACAGCACTCAAGAGCCACTTAGGATTCATTTAGAAATGTGGATGACATTTCACTCTGAGACACTGAACATATGGGGAGGGAGGATAGTCAGGTTACTCCAATGGTTCTGGCATCCTGATATATGCAGTTATACAGTTAGGTATATCAAGAATACAAGAGTACTAGTGTGAATGTGGCTGTCGTATTGTTCTATCACACTTAAAAACAGTAGATAGCCTTAAATGTTAATATATAAAATGGTATAAGCTTGAATACTGTTTTAGTCTTCCTGATCCTGTTCACCACAAAAACAACAACAAATTACATTTGTATGGTACCTTTCACGACAGGAGGACGTCACGAGGCGCTGGACAGTCACTCCTCCTTACAGTATATCCTGTGAAGCACTTTGGGATATCCTCCTGACATGAAAGGCACTGTACCAAAAGTAGGGATTATTATTATCCTCAATTTATATTCTTATATTCCCCTCTTATTCCAAATTTACCCCCAAATTCAAATTAATTGGTTGCTCATCACATTGTTCTGGATGGGATGTTGCTGCTGCACATTTGAAGGCATTTACCTTATATACAACTCCCTTCATTTCTAATGAATTATAATTGGTAAAATGTCTTGTGATGTTTATTTTTATGTGGCAGGCATTATATTATGAAGTTATTTTTCTCATTTCCATGGTACTCTATTTAAAATGTAAAGGGTCAAATGCTACATATTGTATTATATGAATAGTCTTGCACCTACTTTATTATGTACATGTATATAAAGGAGGGGCATATTTAATAATAATCCTTGCATTTGATATAGCACCTTATAGAATATCCTGTAACGTGAATTGACTGTGGGCAAAACGCGGCACCAATTGCGTACAGCAGTGTCCCACAGTCATGGATTTAGTGATCAAATTATTATTATCATTATTTTTGAAGGGATTATTACCCCCGGAAAAGTAATCTGTCAATCGATTACAACCGGGTTCCTACTTACTGCTAGGTAAATACAGGCATGTGGAGTAAGGAAACTTGCCCAATGTTTCGTCCTGCTCGGGAATCAAACCGGGAATAGGTCTAACTAAGCTACAGAATTGCACAATGCTATTTGTAATTCTTGTACAAATTACTACATCACCTACAAAAATAGTCACTAATACTCTCCAGTAAATTCTGTGAAACGTTTTAAGATGACTTAATGGTGTGATTGAGTGCTATATTAAATGCAAAGATTATTATTTACCTATGAAAGCTCAAACTGAATGGGAGACGAACAATTCAGATAACTTTACAGGAAAACTATCAACGAGACCAAGTTTTCAGACAGGAGGTTGGGTTCAACAATTGCTTAAAAAAACTGAATTACCATATGAAAGTAAGAATTAAAAATACAATACAATGTACAATTGGCATTTCAGCACGGACATGCATTTACAAAGAGGTAGCAAAGGGTTTACAGTGAATAGAGTACTGCTGGGAGTTTGATTCCCTGGACAGCTATCCTCTTCAGATATTAACATACAGGTGCATTAACTGCAGGTACACACGTATGTCAATTCTCAGAGAAATATTTAAATCAAAATCCAATAACTATTTAAATCAGTTTTGGAATATGTGGATCAATGATCTTTAATTGCATGAAAAACATATTTTAATCCCTGAAGCCTCCAGGATCTTTTACTTGTAGAACTATGGAAATCCGAGAAGCTGAGTATCTTACTGCATTTCGATCCGGCCTGTGTCCAGTTAATCACACGTTACATGGAGGCATTTGTGTCAGTTGTTGATTTGGATTAAAGTTACCCCTCTTCTCTTTCTCACTCACGTGCAAGTGGGGTCTCATTGGAGCTAAACTGGTTCCAAGGTGACATGTTTGACAACGTCAGATTGTCGGAATCAAGCCAGCTCTCTGTGGCAGTCTCCAGTCCGATTCTTGAGCTAGGTGGCTCTATAGTATTCCAGGGTATTGCTGATGACAGCTCAGCCAGCCTGGCTCACCAGCAGGACCTCGAAGGGCAGACCAGTCACTGGGGTCAGGGAATCATCCCACTCAGCTACTGTTAACCCTGCAAGCCAAAGTTCTTAGGGTTTGGGTGGTCCTAGCTGGACAAGCTGCAAGAAAACTTGCCAGACAGCAATACCAATGGCAAGTTATGCATTTTTAGCTGGTTAGACTCCACCAGATCCCCAAGGCAGACTCTGGGGTCGCTAAACCTTGGCTCTTGCCAACCTGCGCCTAATACTGTCCTGAATTAGCAAAGCAGGATATGTCCCTCCAGGGAGAGAGTGCGCATTCCATTCCAACAATCTATCTCTGGGATTTCCATGTGTAGGTGGGATGCATGGAAACCTCAGTTTGGTTTGGATACTCTTAAGCATGGTGATGGGTTTCCGTATGTGTCAAACACCCGGCTGACAAAAAGAACGCACGCACTCACGCATACACGGCAAGACAGGCTGTTACTTAGTAAGAGCTATTGTTAATATGACTTTCAACTTTTGCTCATTAAAAAGATTTTTCATGATTTTTTTTAATTACAGAACGTGGTTTCTGACAAACTTTTGACAGTCTGAATTTAAATTTCCAAAGAAAACTGCAGCAGTTATAGTGGTTACAAACCAGTGGCTGTATAAACTTTGGTAGAGTTCAACATTCTTTGAATTTGTAATGGGAAGGAGGCCAATGGAGCTTGAACACATGTTGATTGCAAACACTTTGCTCCTCCTTAAGTCTTGTATTTTGTTAATCTTTACAAAAGATTAATGAGAAATCAAAATGCAGCCATCTCTTTATGTGAATTCCTTGCTTCATAATAGCACCCATACATATTTTAACAATATAATATTCTCACTCGACTACAGGAGGACCGTCAACACATTAAAAGTGTTTAAAAACAGGCATTTGTAGAGGTTGAAACCATCAGGGACACAGGGTCCTTTATAATTTATTAGCTATAAGTTGCATGCCTGATAAAATTTTAAACAGGACTCAGAAATGCACAACCAACAAAAGAAAAATAATTCCCCATTACATAACCAAGAAAATAAGACTGAAACTCTAAAATCAAAATAAGGCAAATCATTTAAAAAAAAAGATTTGGGATTTCACTTCCACCCCTTTTGCTTCTTGTAAAACAAAACTGTTCCCTGTATTTACGAATATTCTGCCAATTTAATCCTTTTCCCTGAATATAGGCAATTGTGTTGGATCTGACCATTATTCTACCAAGGTCTCAAAAATGCTGGAACTCGGAACCTGACTGTGGCCTTACATTGTTCATCAGTTTCAACCTCTGGACATTCGATTGGTATTACAAGCATTTTCAACTTTGATCTTACACAATGAACACAGACAACTAAAAACGCATACCATTCGAAGAGGCATCACGCAACACAGTAACAAATATGGACTTTCAGTGACCCATCATATTACAACTTTCAACCTTCCCCCCCCCATTGTGAATTTTCCTATCTACTGCCAGATACCAACGGTTTATTGTTTAAGCTACAATAACAAAGCTCATCAAGAGTTTTGACTATGCAAATAAAAGACTGTTGCAGTTAAAACCTGTAATAGGAATGCTTGTCCCATTCCCTTGCCCCTTACCCTCCAACCCCCCTCCCACCCCATCCCACTTTCAATCCAACGATAAGCAGCTCATTTCCATCAGAGATAAACGACGGTAGACGGGTGACATCCAATTTATGTGGCGTATTTCTTGGTCCACTGTCTTGCTATTCTGTCATGTTCAGCCCTGTTCGTCATATACTGGGTGGCTATGCTTCCAACCAAGGGGTCAGCTGTAATGCAACAAAAGCGATAGTCAGCAATTTATGTCACGAATTGCAGAATCCCAAATTCTTTCTCCCTTGTGACATTCTCCCATGTGAGCAGTGATTTATTGCATTATACAGTTCTATAGGTACCAGTTACTCTACACTGCCTCAACCAAGTGGCCATTTTTCAACAACAGCAGCTTGCATTTATGTAGTTCCTGTCATGCAGGGTAGCATCTCAGAGCGCTAGACAGTGACGGAGCCTACGCCAAGCCTGGGGGAGTGGGGATGTCATCATAGGCATGGTCGAATAGGAAGGTCTTCAGCGATCTGAAAATGGGGAAGGAAGGGGCAAGGCGGAGGGATAGAAGAGGAGTGTTCAAGAGTTTTGGGGTGTAGTAGCTGAAAGTGCGAAGTGTGGCCACGGATGGTGGAACTGAGGGTACGAGGGACATGCAGGAGGCAAGAGCCAGTCGAATGGAGGTAGCGAGTAGTGGGTTGGTGTAAAAGCAAACAGATTGGGAGGTGCCAGGGCAGAACGGAGTAATTTATGCAAATTCCTTGCTTGTCGGCCTCCCCAACTCCTCCCTCCATAGGCTGAAGATCATCCAGAACTGTGCAGCTCGTGTCCTCTCCCATATGAGGCTCCGTGACCCTATCACCCCCATCCTCGCCCGACTCCCATCACATAGAGGTTACAGTTCAAGAACCTGGTCCTCACTTTCAAAGCCCTCCATGGCCTTGCTCCCCTGTACCTCTGCATCCTCCTAATCCCCGACCATCCTGCTTGCTCCCTACGCTCAGCGGGTTCCAGCCTGCTTCACATTCCCCGCTTCGCTCACCCCACTATTGGTGGGCGGGCCTTCTGCCACCTTGCCTCCACCCTCTGGCACTCCATCCCGCATTCCTCTGCCTCAGCCCCTCCTTTGCTTCCTTCAGGACCCATCTCAAGACCTTCCGCTTCGACCGTGCTTTCGATCACCCCGTTGCCTTCCACCCTCCACAATCCCAATCCCCAGCTTGAGTCAGAAACCCTGACTGTCCAGCGACTTGGGACATCCTCTCAATGTGAAAGGCGCTATACAAATGTAATTTTGTTGTTGCTGTTGTTCAAGTACGAGCTGGACAATGAGTAATAGTGGAATCAACCATGGGATCATCACCAATCTTGTCCTCAATCAACATTCACATTTAAAGCACTTTAAATGATGGTCACTAAATAGTGATCAGAAACATACTGGCGAGTTTCACCTGTTTAGTCGACGGCACTGAGGCCAACTGCAATGCCCCTAATGCTGCCTCAGTGGCAATTCCACATTAATACTAATGAGGGAAATAATGCAACATTATGGAACTATTGTCACTTTTAATCAGTATCAACTCTGAATATAATATATTAATTTTCGTATTGTATTCTAAGCTTTAGAATCTAATGTAACATTTTTGACACATTACTGGAAAAGTGTTGCAGCACTTTTCAATTTGCCAATTGTGGAAATCAAGTACTGTATTTGCATTCATTAATACAAGCATTTTCTTTAATGATTGCTTCTCCACATTTCCCCCCAAAGTCTCCCTATAGTAGACTCTTTCCCTGGCCTAGTCTTGAGGAGACCTGCTTCCCAGGCATCTGCTGAACAATCAAGGTTTCTTTCTTTCCACATTTTGAAAAATCGTTGAAATCAGCATAGTTTATAGATTCCTTCAATCATGGTACAGCATCACATGATGCTCGCAGATACAACAACATTTGTACAGCAACTTTCACGTCAGAAGGATGTCCCAAGGTGCAGGACATCAAGGTTTTGCACTTGACCTGGGCAAGAGGGGTGGAGGCAAGAGGTTTGGGCCAGAGAATGGCCAAAGAGGCAAGTCTTATGATGGGCCTTGAAGGAGGCAAGGGAAGGGGGTAAGGCATAGCAATGCTGGGATGGAATTCCAGTGGGGACATGGAGCAGGCCAGTGCCCCCATAGCACAGGCTGGTATGGTTTTAGTTGATAGAGGCAGGGAGGAGCAAGAGCTTGGAGGGCTTTATAAGTTATGACGAGGATCTAAAACTCGATCCTCTGGTGGATGTGGAGCTAGTGAAGCCGGGCTGATGGAGCTTTGTGCGGGAGAGGACACGAGCTGCAGAGTTCTGAATATGGAGGGAAGAGTTAGGACTTCCAGTGAGCAGAGAGCTAGCATAGTCAACCCTGGATATAATTAAATCAAATACAGTAAACTCCAGATACCCCATCACTCCAAGAGAAAAGGGTCTGTTCAGTAATTATCCAATGTGACGAGTTAACCATAGATTCTTATAATGTGTTGAAAACAAGAGCGGTATAACTTCTATTCTTGGTAGATTAGCAAGATGGTGTCAATATTGTATTCTGAGTCATTGCCTATCCCTCCCAAAGATGGAATATTACCAGATAAAAATAACTGCTGGTCATGATGATGCCAATTCAGTTTATAGATAAAGATACCACTCGGCACCACTTTCTCTCACTTGCTCATCCAGCACCTTCTCACAGCGGACATCACTTCTGAGCGTGTCCCTTATTAATATTTTCATAGAAGTGGCCGGGGATTTTGATACGATATTGACGGCATGATGACTTAAGTGATAGTGACGAGATAAGCCGGGGTCGAGTTATCTGGAGTTTACTGTATGTACATAAAAGTTAATTCAGAGATGCCCAATTCCTAGCAAGTATAATTTGTGAACACTCTCTCCAACTTCCCCCCGCATGTAGAAGCACTCGATCTCCCCGCCGTGCTCCCCCATGAAGGTCCAGCTAGTTTAAAACTGGACAGATGAAATGTAAAGAGACCAAAGATTATCAATTTCCACTTACCAGGGTTACAGTCTGTGAGAAGAGAACAAATTGACAGAAGAACCTTTGAGATGGTCAGAGCTGGGCTCCAGTTATCCTTCAGGATATCCAGACAGATCACACCTTGACTGTTGATATTGCAATGATAGATCCTTGTTCGGAAAGTCACCTGTCAAATTCAGTTGAAAATTAATTTAGTGACTTGAAAAATAAAAAATGTCTGAATTAATACCAACTTATAATACTCTCTGGAAATATAGACAAGAAAAAGTTAAAACTTTTACAGTAGGTGTATGTGTCTTCAGCACCCACCTCAGATCAGGATCCTAGTAACCTGTGTGAAGAGCTTTTAGATATCCTCAAGATATGAAAGATACCATATAAATGTAAATTGTTACAGTAGATCGCTAAATAACTGAGTAATAGAAAAGTCAGGAATTTATACAATTGAGGAGTCAGACACTCTTAGAAATTGGACTTCAAGGCTTGTATTGTGTAGCTTTTACAATCCTAGATAGTCATAGATTAAAAGATATTTTGTTAAATACCTGTGAAGAATGATAATAAACCAAACTCTAGTGAGTATTACACTATTTCAGTTTGCTGCCCCAATAACATTCGCCGCACCATTCACTTATTATTATTATTTTATAGTCTATTTAACCAAAGATGAGATTTCCAGCACCGCCTGATCCTGTCGGGGAAAAATTTCACCTGGGTCTCAATTTGCTCTATTTATGCCGCAATTTAGAGCATCCAGAATTTGTCAAATTTGCCATCCATTGGATGAGACATTAAACCGAGATCCTGTCTGCCTGCTCAGGTGGGCGCTAAAGATTCCATGGCACTATTCGAAAAGAATAGAGAGTTTCTCCTGGTGTTCTGGCTAACAATTCCCCAAGTAAAACTGGTTGCTCGTTTCATGCCTGTTTGTGCAAATTGCGCAAATTGGCTGCTGTGTTTCACCCACAAAATACAGTTAATCCATTTTACAGTATATTCTGTGAAGTGCTTTGAGGTGTCTCAACATGATAAGATACTATATCAAATGCAAGGATCATTATTATTTGTTATAAATTCTTAAATAGTCTTCATTCTGATGTTTTTCCAATAAGTTTCTTTTGAAACTCCAGCAAACTGACTTCAAAGTTAAGACTGAATTCAACAACTTTCCAAATTTTGGACACTCTTTGACATGTTACATAAGACAAATTATAGAACCAGCTAGAACCAGAAATTATAGAACCATTTCTCCCCACCAGTGACCACTGAAGGGACTCCTGGAAAGAAACACTGAATAATGATCAGGAGCAGAGATTATGTCCAATAATTCCCCAAAGTTGACAGGGAAAAAAAAGTTCCATATTTATTCTATTCCCCACTCAAGACTGATATGTCCAAAGGGGAAACCAAAATGGGTTCTATTCCTAGTCACTTTTCAGCAAAACAAAATTACATTTATAGAACGCCTTTCACGTCGGGAGGACATCCCACGGCCCTGGACAGTCAGGGGTCAGGACCCAAGCATGGGGGAGGGGTGGGGTAGGGGTGAGAGAAGGCAGAGAGGTGGGAGGGTGACTGAAGGCACGATTGAAGAGGAGTATCTCGAGACCGGCCTTGAAGGAGGCAAGGGAGGAAGCGAGGTGAAGGGACTGTGGGGTGGAGTTCCAGAGTGTGGGGACAAAGAGGCTGAAAGCTCGGCCACCGATGGTAGGGCGGGACGGGCAGGAGACATGGAACAGGCCAGAGCCCACTGAATGGAGGAAGTGGGAAGATTGATAGGGAGTCAGCAGGTCAGAGAGGTAGGAGGGGACAAGGCCAAGTGAGTACGAGGATCTTGAATTCGATCCTCTGAGGGATGGGGAGCCAGTGGAGTCGGGCGAGGGTGGGAGTGATGGGGTCACGGAGCTTGGTGTGCGAGAGTACACGAGCTGCAGAGTTTTGGATGATTTGCAGCTTGTGAAGTGAAGAGTTGGGAAGGCCGAAGAGGAGGGCGTTCCCGTAATCGAGCCTTGATGTGACGAATGCGTGGGTGAGGGTTTCGGCAGCCTACGGGGTGAGGCAATGGTGGAGTCTGGCAATGTTGCGGAGGTGGTGGTAGGCAGTGTCCGTCATGGCGCAGATGTGGGGGAGAAAGGACAGTTCAGGGTCAAACAAGATGCCCAGGTTCCTGACTGGCTTAGTGAGGTTGAGTGTGCAGCCGTGGAGGCAGATGCTGCCAGTGCTCGAGTGCAGAGGCGCTGGCGCGAGCCAATCAGGAGGGCCTCGGTCTTGCTGACATTCAGTTAAGAGAAAGTTGTCCGTCTTCCAAGACTTGATGTCGGACAGGCAGTCGTCAGGACGCCAGTAGTCCTGGAGTAGAGGGTGGAGGCAGAGAGATAGAGTTGAGTGTCATCCGCATACATGTGGAAATTTATCCCATGTCTTCGGATGATGTCACCAAGGGGGAGCATGTGGAGGGTGAAGGGGAGGGGACCGAGGACAGAGCCCTGAGGAACAACGAAGTAGAGGCGGTGTGAAAGGTAGGACCTGAAGGAAAGACAGAACCTTGAAGGTTGAGGTGGGAGGAGAGGCGGTGGGGAAGATTGAGCGGTTCATGGTATCAAAGGCAGCGGAGAGGTCGAGGAGGACGAGGAGGCAGAGGGAGCCCTGGTCACACATGGTCAGGATGTCATTTGTGACCTTGACCTTGTGGGCAGCATGGAAACCCGATTGGAAGGGCACTTCATTGACTGACCACAAAATCACCTGTGGACCTGTCAGTAGAGCACTGCCTGTTCTCTCAGAATATATCCTGTACATTAAAAAAAGTTAAATACAGGCCAATTTTATTCAGCGACTCTGCATCCTGACTTTACTGATCACATGACTTTTGATGTCGCTGTCCATACACATAGGATGTCACATCAGCAGCCCCCTGATGACCTGAAAGTCAGCCACTTTGGGTGTTCAGGAAGCCAGCCAGTCCCCGCAGTCAGGTCAACTGTGGGTCCACATGATACCTGTCTTACAAGTGAACCAGCTTTATAAAGGGGCGCAACCCTGTGTCCTCACCACCAAAAGCCTGGTTCACAGATCATCAGCGAGAGACTGTTTGAGACAATAAATACTGTGCTCACATTGCAGCTAATCTAATAAAATTAAAGGGCCAAAGGAAAACAAATTAACCTAAATCTAGGCCAGATTTCTCACAGGAAATGTGAGAAATTGATTATTTTTGTCTCACATTACCCTCTCTAAATAAAGTAAACTGACAGAAATTCCTGCTGTGCAGCACAAATCCTGCATGAATTGAAGAATCCCATCAAATTTGCATTGGTCTCAGCAGTTCTAATGTGTTTGCTTCCAAGTGCCTCCCAAGTGAATCGCTAGTACAATGACATTCTGCAGACTGCTGCTATTCCAACACTCCACGACCTGTAGATTTTGATAGAAAGTTAAGTCCTTCAGAGCTGTGCTTCATTGCATTACGAGTTTAAAGATTCATAGTTTCTGATGTCAGATAAATGCTCCGACTGCTAAAGTTCCCATTGGACAGACCACTGAGTAATGTAAGCTGTAGTGTGATAATAAAAATACATTGATATAGCACCTTATCAAGTCATCAACATGTCTCAAAGCAATTCACAGGATATCACTGTGAAGTGAGGTAACAGTATATTTTGTCGGCATACATGGCAGCCATTGTGCTAGAGTTGAGACAATTGAAAGAGGCCTTGATTGAGGTATTTAAGGCTATGAAAGGATTCAATAAAGTGGATATTTGGCTGTTTTCATTTGTTGGTGAGTGCAAAATGAGAAGGCATAAATATGATATTGCCAATCTTAAAATAGTGCATTGCAGTTATAAACCTGCTGGGTTGCAAGAGAGCAGTGCTGATCAAATTCCCCTTCTCTTCAGCTCTCAATTTGGTCTACCCTAGACACAGGTAGCTAAATCTTCTCTGGAAAGGGGTAAAAAAAAGAATTCCCCCGACAGCTTTCTCAAAGGTCCACTTCACAATAATAGAAACATGAATTGAGAAAAGACCAAGTTTTAGGGATACATTTATAGGCACTTTTGCGCCTTCAATCCACATCTAGGCTATTTGCTTCAGAGACAAAAATCAAATGTGAGATGCAATTCCTCATGCAGTTTGAATCTGAACCTCCTCTGGGACATTTACATCCAAGAGCCATTCAGACTTTTATTGATGTTTTTCCAATGCAGAAAGTAAATGTCAAACAAACATTTTATTGTTATTACTCCCAATACAGGCTTCAGTGCAATACTTCATCGACGGGTCTTGAAAGCCGTCCAAAAACCTGCATTTATCTGTCAGTCAACTACAGCCAAAAAAGCATCCAAATTCAATTGGCACAATGCTTTATACAGCAATGTAATCTATTCAATGTGCTAACATTTACAGTCATCAGAAGGGGAAGTGCAATATCAAGTACCATACCACAAACAAGATTTCCTTTCAATTATATCACTTTCTTGTCCCATTATGCCAAGTATGGTGAAATTAAAAGGAATACAATAATGCTTTTTTTTGAAAGGGGGAGAAGTTTTTTTTAATCTGATGATAATTAACAGAAACTGTGCTCAGATTTTGGATACTTAATTTCATCAAACTAATCTATTCACTTAACGAGGTGATGAAAGAAAAAGGGAATGCTTATCAACCTTCTTTCCCACACCCCCTCATGCCCCAAGTAAATTAGCACAACAATAAAAATTACCACAACTGCTTTTCAAGCTGGTTGCAATGAACATGGACTTTAAATATACAACAACTTGCACTTATATAGCGCCCTCCATGAAGGATAGCATCTCGGCGCGCTTAACAATGGTGAAGCCTGGGGGTTGGGGAGGGGGGGTGAGTCGAAGAGGAAGGTTTTCAGGCGGGACACAAAAAAGGGAAGAGAGGGGGCACGGCGGAGGGATTGAGGGAGAGCGTTTTGGGGCATAGTGGCTGAAAGCACGGCCTCCAATGGTGGGGCGGAGGGCACGAGGGACAAGGAGGAGGCCGGTGCCAGTCGAGAGGAGGCGCCGGGTGGTGGATTGGGAAGTGAGGAGGTCAGAGAGGTAGGGAGGTGACATGGAGTAAATGGATTTGAACACGAGTGTGACGATCTTGAAGTCGATCCTTTCAGTGATGGGGAGCCAGTGGAGCCTGGCCAGAACTGGTGAGGTGTGCGCGGAGTTTGGTTGGTGTCAGTATGTGGGCAGCAGAGTTCTGAAAGAGCTGGATATTTTGAATAGTGGAGTTGAGGAGACCGGCGAGGAGTGTGTTGGGAGTAATCCAAGCGGGAGGTGACAAACGCATGCACAAGGGTTTCGGCTGCGTTTGGGGTAAGGTATGATCGGAGGGGGGCAATATGGTGGAGGTGGAAGAAAGCGGCCCTGGTCAGGGACTGGATGTGGAGGAGGAAGGATAGCTGGGGTTGAACCAGTCGCCTAGGTTCCGCACTGATTCGGTGAATCTGAGGGAGAGCCCAGGGAGGTTGAGGAGTTTAGATCCCCAGGAATGAAGACGTTGACGGGAGCCAAGGAGTATGGCTTCCGTCTTGTCCATATTCAGCTGCAGGAAGCTTACACTCATCCAGGCCTTGATGTCTGCCAGACAAGCTGATAGAACATCGGTGGACCTGGAGGAGGCAAAATAAATTTGTGTGTCATCCGCATATATGAAGTTTACCCAGTGTCTGCTGATAATATCGCACAGAGGGAGCATATAGATAAGGAAAAGAGGGCCAAGGATGGAGCCCTGGGCTACCCCGCAGGTGACCAGGCGGGGGCGGAAGGAGAAACCATTGGCTGAGATGAAATGGAGGTGGTTGGTTAAGTAGGACTCGAACCATGCGAGTACGGTCCCACTAAGGTGGATGAGGAAGGAGCCGGTGGAGGAGGATGGTGTGATCAACTGTGTCGAACACGGCAAAGAGATCCAGGAGGATGAGGAGACAGAGGGAGCCCTGGTCACAGATAGAGAGAATGTCGTTTGTGACTTTGACAAGTGTTGTCTCTGTGCTGTGGGCAGGGCGAAAAAATAGACTGCAGGGGCTTGAGGAGGGAGTGAGTGGAGGGAGAGGTGTGACCGAAGTTGAAGATAAACATATTGCAGAGGGAGATATTCTCCACCTGACATCCCATTAACCCGCACACTGTCAAAGTGTCGGTCACACCCATGCCCCATTCATCCTCATTTGACACCTGCATCTTTCAGCAAGAGCTGTTGCATGGCAATCAGTAGCCTGAATGATGGATGTTTCTTCTCTCTAATTCAGAGTACTGAAGCCACATTTCCTGGCCTTACTGTCATCCCACCCAACCCGGGGCATATCAAGGGAATCAAACTGGGGAGCTTTCTACTCTTTATGGCTACTCCCCAGGTAAGACCAATGGTAGAGCCACACAATGTGACTGCACCATTTCTTGTAAATAGCTATTCACTACAAAGCCAAGTTAACATGAGCAAAATAATCCCCCCCCCTCCCCTCCCATACACATAGCAATCATGGAGGAGTGCTGGGCAAAGCACAACTTTCAACATGAACAAAACAGATTCCAAAGTAAGAAAATGTAGACAAAACAACAGTAAAGCTCAACTCTGATAAGAATGAAGACATAGTACATGAGAGCCTGGATGAGAAAAGTTCACTTACAACAACAACAAAATTACATTTATAGAGCGCTTTTCATGTCAGGAGGACATCTGGACAGTCTGGGGTTGGGACCCGAGCATGAGAGAGGGGTGGAATAGGGGTGAGGAAAAGCAGAGAGGTGAGAGGGTGACTGAAGGCATAATCAAAGAGAAGGGTCTTGAGACCGGCCTTGAAGGAGGAGAGGGACTGTGGGTGGAGTTCCACAGTGTGGGGGCACAGAGGCTGAAAGCCTGGCCACCGATGGTAGGGTGGGTTGGGCGGGACCCTTACCATCGGTGGCCAGAGCCCGTTGAACGGAGGGAGCGGGCAGGTTGGTAGGGAGTTAGCAGGTCAGAGAGGTAGGAGGGGGAAAGGCCATGGATGGCCTTGAAAGTGAGGATGAGGATCTTGAATTCAATCCTCTGAGGGATGGGGATCCAGTGGAGTCGGGCGAGGGTGGGAGTGATGGGGTCATGGAGCCTGGTGCGCAAGTGTACACGAGTTGGGAAGGCCGATGAGGAGGGAGTTTCCATAATCGAGCCTTGATGTGACAAATGCGTGGGTGAGGATTTCGGCAGCCTGAGGGCTGAGTCAGTGGCGGAGTCTGGCAATGTTGCGGAGGTGGTGGTAGGCAGTGCCGGTCATGGGGGAGAAAGGACAGTTCAAGGTCAAACAAGACACCCAGGTTCCTGACTGGCCTAGTGAGGTTGAATGTGCAGCCGTGGAGGCTGGTGCTACCAGCGCCCGGGGTGCGGAGGCGCTGGCGCGAGCCAATCAGGAGGGCCTCGATCTTGCTGACAGTCAGTTGGAGAAAGTTGTCCCTTGTCCAGGACTGATGTTTGATCAGGCAGTCGGTCAGGACGCCAGTAGTCCTGGAGTTGAGGGTGGAGGCAGAGAGATAGAGTTGGGTGTCATCCGCATACATGTGGAAATTTACCCTATGTCTGCGGATGATGTCACCAAGGGGGAGCATGTAGAGGATGAGGAGGAGGGGACCGAGGACAGTGCCCTGAGGAACCCTGCACGAGATGGTGCGGGGGCTGGAGGAGAAGCTGTTTGCCGCGACAAAATGGAGGTGGTGTGAAAGGTAGGACCTGAATCAATCAAGGACAGAATCTTGAAGGTTGAGGGGGGAGGAGAGGCGGTGGAGGAGGATTGAGTGGTCCACATTAACAATGGTGGCGGAGGGGTTGAGGAGGACGAAGAGGCAGAGAGAGCCCTGGTCACACATGGTCAGGATGTTATGTGTAACTTACCTTGGGCGGCTTAAATGGATATTCTGCTGAAAACACTATGTCAAGGAAAAACACGCCACCTTCATACACTGACCCAGGGGGCCCCAGGATCGTCGACCTCCACTCATAGACATTATCTCCTTTTGGTCCAGCACTGAAAGAAATAAAATTGAGAAAAAAAAGCAGAAAGTGTCACTTTTATTCTACAATGAAAAGTTGTAGTTGTATGAAAACTTAAAATCAGAAAGCTGATGAGGTGGAAAGAAATTATCCCCAAGATTTGGTTCGAAATTGTTCGGTTTGTTTTACAGTGAGAAACTACAGCCTGATACAAGCTGCTTTTTGTGTTCTGCACAAACAGACAGGAATTTGCTCCATTTAAAATGTCACTGAAAGTAATGAGACCCTGAAGGAATTACATTTCAGGTTGGACTTGATTTGTTTAAATGTTAAAAGTCCCAAAGGCTGTGCAACTGTACAAGCTCATGATCAAGGGCAGAGCACTGTATAATATACCAAGCAGGCTACCAAGCCTTATCTATCATGCTCACAACAAGTTCCCAATCATGATCGCCTCGCAAAGGCCACGCACCTCTCAACTAAGGAATGTCTCCCAGACCACTCTTGCAACCTCCACTTTCTACAAGGAGCAGAGAGGGTCTTCTGTAAATTGCTCTCAGCGCCACTACTGAAGTTTGAAGACCACCCTACCACCCGTTATATGTCTTGCACAAACACCACTCTTTGTCTTCAAGTTCTGAATCTCAGCGCTATCTCAGATAAACCAAGCCACAGGGGGTGAAGTTCATCATCCTGCGTACACTGAACAAAAGTGACAAATGGAACCAAATCACAATTCATATTACAATTCAATTTAGCAATTTTACTCTGGTAACCTGCACAATGCCACCAGAGGCAAGCTCGAATAAAAACTGTGTATATTTCAGAGCTCATCCATTAGGGTTATTATTCTCACACGAGAAGCACGGATGATTTTCCTTTACATCTGAAATAATCGATTTCTACCATTTTACACACTATGCTTCTGGGAAATGATAAGCAAAGGTGTTTTTAGTGTGCTGTGAATGGTATGAGATGCACATGAACTCTACCTGCACACAAATAGATCAATTCTTCAATTCCTTGTCATTTGAAAGACAGATCATTCCTGCTTCATAAGTAAGCCAAACCACACTGTAGCATCAGGGCAGAGTAACTCCCAGAACAAAATGGAAATGAATCAAACTACCAACAACCATCCAACAGGCCTAATTAACAACAGTTGGATCCTAGCCACACACTTCAAATGGAAATTTAATAGAGTGTGTGATTTTTTTTAATCTAACCCTTTGCAAAATCAGAATTTGCTTTTTTTAAAAAAGTTACTTTGCTGAAATAATTTTATTAAGATTGAATTCATTAGATTTACAAATGAAAAGCAGACTGCAACATTAAAATGCCACAATACTGCTTCAATTTCCTGGGGGTGGGGGAGAAGACTAAAAACTAACTTTGTTCAACAAGAAGCCACCTCCTGGCTCTTTCCTCACCAATATCTCCTCTCTTCTTTCACCCCTGTCCCTCTGCACTGAACATATGCTCATAATGGGTGATTTCAACCTCCACCTAAACTCCTTTTGTACCAGCTCCTCGGATTTCACTGCCCTTCTCTCCTCCCTGAACCTCACCCTCCACATCAACCCACAACCATGGCCACTCCCTCGACTTTGTCATCACGCATGGCCTTGACATTTCCAACCTGTCTATCACGGACAAGGCCATCTCGGACCACTTCCCCATTTCCTTCTCCTCCCACATCCCCCTCCATTTTTTTTCGCCACTGGAAAAAGCTTCCCCCTGAATCCCTCACAAATGCCCCCTCTTCCTCGGACCTCCTCTCCCTCTGGCCCTCCCGCAGCGATCCTGATACAGCCATCAAGCTGCTGAATGACCATCAGAGGTCGTGCTTTCAGCCACTACTCCCCAAAACTCTGGAACACTGTCCCTCAATCCCTCTGTCTTGCCCCCTCCTCTCTTTCAATTCTCCCCTGAAAATTTCCCTCTTTGACCGTGTTCATGGCCACCTCCCCACTCCCCCCNGGCTCGGAGTCAGGCTTCGCCACTGTTAAGCGCTCTGAGATGCTACCCTGCAAGGAGGGCACTATATAAGGGCAAGTTGTTGCTGTATTAAAGATCAACTATTTAAGCACTGAGCTGAGGTTTTATGTTATTGCTGGCAATTCCACGAATTCCAGTTGCCAGATGCACATTAATGAAACTTGAGTCGTTTCACTGATTGACAACTACTTTGCTCCCTTACCATCCCCTCTCCAAATTTACAACAACAATGTCTATTTATATAGTACCCTTTACTCAGAATAGTGTCTCAGAGTGCTTACTAGTTTTAGAATACAATATAACTAGGTAGGCATAACTAGTATTTGAAACCCTCATTAAAAATGTTAACCTAAATTAAATAATTTAAAAATGAGTCTCCAAATCTCACTTCAATCTTTCTTTGGTACACAACACACAGAGGGAATCTATAGCAGTTTCTATTATTTGGCTTCAAATGAAGTGACTGTGCATTGTAGGCGATATGTAGACCATTTTACAAGTAAGGATAATGAGCGACCATTTTCAACAAGTCAGTGTGAGCAAAGTATAAGTTTGGCGCCCGTGCTCTGGAACTCGATTCCCAGGCCACTCCAACTTCCTCTCCCTCTCCTAATTCAAGATACATCTTCAAACGTACTTCTTTAAACACGCTTTTGGTCAACTTTCCCCCCCTCACCTCCCAGCTCCAGTGCCCTGCCAGAATTGTCAAGCGACTTCCTCCCGATGTGAAAGGGGCTACATAATTTGTAGACTGTATTTGTATTGTATAAAGTAGGACACAGTAGTATCAACAATGGATATAATTTACACCAGATGGACCTTAAGAGGCATCTTAACAATGGGCTGAATGCTCTATTTTGTGGTAGATTAACAACAGGGTGGAGGGGGAATAGTTAAGATGTCAAAGTTTGATTTAAATTGAAACAAAATGTGCAAATGGGCAGATTTCTTGAATATTAAATTATTCTATTTGCCTGGTTTACCAGTGCAAAAATAAATGAATCAGAATGAATAAACTGCATCAATACACTCTCTTTGGGGGAACAAGGTACAAAGCTGTACAAAAGCCAGAATTGGTCTCTTTTGTACAGATCCAACAAATGGCCAAGGCAACACAAGTCTGGATATACTTAAACCATACCTAGCCTCTTTGCTAACTTTTTTGGTAGCTACAGGGCACTGTAACATCCTGTGTTATGCAACAATATTGAAATGACGTTTGACCAAAGCCAGTCACAAAACAACTCAGAGGGTAAAACACTATTAACCACCCACTGTCTGCTTTTGAACTGATAATAATAATAATCCTTGTATTTGATACAGCGCCTTATCATGTTTTCGAGACGTCTCAAAGCGCTTCACAGAATATACTGCAAAGTGAATTGACTGTATATTTTGTGGGCGAAACCCAGCAGCCAATTGCGCACAGCAGTTACTACTGAATGGTGCGTTAATTTTTTTGCAACAGTGAGAACCACATTGGATTATTATTCCAACACAGCAATAATGGTAGTTGTACCAAACCAGAGTGCCCTCTGGTGAGCCACTTCCTCTCTGCATCTTCATGAAAAAACAGGCCTCAGGATATGGACCAACCCGGCTCAATCATTGCTTTACTTACCACTTATACTATCTTGTATATCTGGCTTTCCTTACGCAAGGACCAAGCACGGTGGCACAAATCCCAGCCCTGTTCTACTTTGTAAACATCTAACATAGAGCTGTGGCACCAAGAAAAATCTGCCTACTCTCTTTTCCAACTTTACATTTGATAGTACTGTATTCTCTGTATGAACCCCATATTCATGTTTAGCACCCAGGAGGCAACAACATTTCAGACAAAATATCCGAGCATAACCTGTGGGTAACAGAATAATAATTATCTTTGCATTTGATCACGTCTTTTAGAAGTCTCAAAGTGTTTTGCAGAATATATTGTAAAGTGAGTACAATAAATAATAATAGTTAATAGAAATATAATAAACACATAAGAAATAAGAAATGCATGAAGCAAAAAAAGCTGCAGTTGCACATCAGAATTTGAGCACAAGTGATAGCTGGTGATAACATTTTATAATATTTATCAACAAATTAATGATGTTGCTACATTGTCAGCATGAACCAAATTTAGAAATGTTGCTGCATTAATTTCACTCCAGTTTAAAAGGGTAATCTTTATAACTAACCTGGAGAATATACTCTGCAGACAGAATAAACAAATATGAAATATTACAGGTGGCAGAACAATAATATCTCAAATTTACAACCTCCTGTAGAGTAACATTTCTGAACAAAGTCCATTTATAATAGTTACTGCTACAGGGCCCATGGTTCCTTCCTACAATTTCAAGGTACACAAATGAAGTCATGCACAGTACGCCTTTGGCATGTGACTAATTGGTGAACTAATGTACCCCAGTACCTGTGCTTCACTGGGTACCAGAGTAGTGGCTGGTACTCAGTTAAGATGATGTAATTGAGCTGGAGGTATTGCAACATTGATGTTTTACAGTGCTACTTCCTTCACTGTTTTTTGAAAAGAACCCGTACATCACAACTTTGCTTAAAAGACACAGAAGGGTATTTATTCAATCAAAACTTCTCCTCCCTCCAGCTTTGACCTACACTTTCTCATGTATGTAGTATATATTTGTAGTGTGTAATTGTACACAATTGAGCTTTGTGATTTACGATTCACTGGGGGGTGGGGGGAAAGAAAGGTTTGCCCTAACAATAATAATGCCACATTGCACCATTTAGTTTGTTTAATTGTGAGTTCTGGATTGACTTTTCATCCACACATATGCACAGACCTGACACTATCATATTGTAAAGATGGTGATGTGACGCATGCCACACAGCTACGTATCAAGAGCCACCTGACACCCAATGAACTGGGTTCCAGAACAGTGTCTCTCAACCTGTGCTATCAGGAACCAGCTCAATACATCTTAAAATGTATCGGGCCATTTGAGATAAATGTAGCTTTAAACCTTCTGAGGATTTCTTTCTTAAAGCATTTAACTAAACAATGGT